TGGAAGACATTTTCTCAAGCTGCAAATCAAACTTCTGGAGATGTTACAAAGTCAGAGATGAAAAACAAAGTAGATGGGATTAACAAGCGATTAGATATAGAAAGATAACTAGTGAACTTGAAAACAGCAATGGAAGTTATTCAACATGAAACAAGGAGAAAAATGAATGGAAAAAGTAAATAAATTATCAGTGACCTGCAGGGCCACAAGAGCTCAAATACACATGCAACTGGAGTCCTGAAGGATGAAAGAGGAGTCAGAAAAAATATCTGAGGAAATAATAGCCAAAAATTTTCCAAATTTGATAAAGTATGTATCCCTATATATCCAAGAAACAAAATAAACCCAATCCAAAGACAAGAGAAAAAAACAATGGACCAATGTATCTCATATATTATAAAAATTCTTTACAAAATCTTAGCAAATTGGGTCCAACAATGTATCAAAAGGATAACACAGTATGACCAAGTGGAATTTATCCCAGGAATGCATTGTTAACAGTTGAAAATCAACCAATCACTAACTGACCAAGTAAGAAAAATTGTAAGACCATCTTAATAGATGCAGAAAAGCATTTGAAGAAGTACAACACCCATTCCTATTAAAAACTCTTAGAACACCAAGAAGGGAACTTTCTCAGCATAATAAAGAACATCTATGACAAACCTACAGTAACCATCATACTTAAGGGTAAAAGACCAAACACTTCTACCCTAAGATCACAAACAAGGCACAGATGCCCACTCTCACATTTCTTTTGTTTCCCCCACTCTCACATTTCTATTCCACATTGCATTGGAGGTCCCAGCCACTATAATAAAGAAAAGGAAATTAGTTAAAGTAACCCAGATTAGAAAAACAGGGAAGAAGTAAAACAATCTTTATTCTCAGAAGACATTACTATCTACATAGAAAATCTTATCAAATCTATAAAAATAGTACTACAGAACAAATGAATTTAGCAAATTCTCTGGAAAGAATATCAATGTAATAAAATCAATCATATTTCTATATTGGCAAGGAATAATTGGAAAGTAACATTTATTATTTATATAATTTATCATGGTATCAAAAAGGATGAAATATTGAAGTATAAATTCGATAAAAGCTTTGCAAGACCTGTACAGTGAAAACTATAAAACTGTTCAGAGAGGCTAAGGAAGACTTTAATAAATGAATATGTTGCAATCCTAATCAAAATTCGAGCAGGGTATTTATAGAAACTGGCAGCTTAATTCTAAAATTCATATGGAAATGCAAAATGCCTGAAATGGTCAAAACAATTCTGAAAACAAAGAACAAAGCTGAAGAACTATATACATGATAAAATAAGACAACTAGTTCCAGACAAGTATAGCATCACTATACCATAAAGGCCATCACTTTTCCCCACGTATTTTATCTTTGTAAAATATAAAAATATTGCACATGTACCCTTTGACAATTGCTTCATCTTGTTCCCTCCCTTCCTCTTTTCCCAGAGGTAATCACAGTGACTTTGGTAACCTCCTTTGCAGACCTTCTTTGTACATCTATGTACATATATATGTATCCTTAAAAAATTAGAGCACCACTTATGTTGCAATATTATGAAGGAATACATGGGAATAAGAGAAGCTTAAATTCAAGACAACTGTTACAAAGGAGCAGGAGCAGAGGCAAAATCAGGGTAAGGGTGTGGGACAATGGGAAGGATAAGGATGTTATTAGAAAGGGATCCATCTAGGAAGCTTCAAATCACTCTGTAATATTTTATTTCCCAAACTGGATGGTAGGAAACAGGTATTCTTATTTATAAACATCACATTATTTTGTATTTTTTTAAGAAAACATAAGTTAAACTGAATATATCATACAGCAATTTGATTTGTTTACAATATACAGATCTATCCATTTTTACTATATATAAATGTTTCTCCCTTTCAATACTGCAGATTATTCAAAATATGACTAGAAAACAGTCTATTTAGCCATTGATGGACATTTAGATTGTTTACATTTTATACACCAGAAGCAGTGTTGCTGTATGCTTCTTGTGCTATAGAAGCCCTCCTGTGTACATGTGAAGGTGTTCTGTCCCAGGACAGAATTGCTGGAGCACATAGCATGTGCATTTTCAATTTTTTACATTAATAAATAATAACAAAATGTCTCTCAGCTGGCCATATCAATCTATGTTCCTACCACTAGTAGAACAAAGAACCTGTTTTTCCATAACCTCAACAACACTGGATAACATTCTTCTTTATTAATTTTGGTTTAAATAACATGAAAATACCATCTTATTTTAATTCACACCACATATTTTGCGGCACTTTTATACCATTAATATTTTATTTTCTATAAGCTGCCTATTTGTACTGCTTACCAATTTTTAAAGTTGAGGCTATCTTTGTCTTAATATTTCATAGTTCTTAAACATGGTTACTATTTTTTTTTTTTTTTGCTACTTACACTGCAAATAATTGTCCTCAGTTCCAAAGGCCATAATGTCTTTAATTCAGACATTATAGTAGGCCTTTCAGTTGTATACCAGATCATTGTCATATCCATATTTTAGTCTTTATTTTATTGTCTTAGTTAGGCCCTTTCTGTAGTTTAATACATAATTCTCTCATTTTTTTCTTAAAAAAATTTTATACTAACGCTTTCTTTGAAGCGTTAAGTCGTGTTCCGACTCAGCCTTAGGTCATCACTCTCGCTGTCCGGTCGAGTTTCCCTGCTCTTTAGGCTCTGGTGATGGCCAGAGCCTGAGCCTGTTTCCCATTCTCATGGCCTCCCTCTGCCCTCCCCTGTTCTGCTCGTCTCTGTCCCATTAAATAACAAAACGGAAAAAAAAATTTTTTAATAAAAATAAAAAAAATAAAAAAATAAAAATAAAAAAAAATAAAATAAAAAAAAAATTTTATACTAAGCTTTTTTTAACCTCATGTTTGAATTTTATTTTTTTGAATGGTATGACAGAGGAATTTAAATTAACTTTTATCCACTAGGTAGCCAATTGTCCCAACACAATTTATTTAATATGCCATCCTTTTTTCCCCCACAATACTTTGAGATGACATTTAGGAGAGACTAAATTTAATTCCATACTTGGTCTGCTTCTGGACTCCCAGTTCAGTCCTACTGATTTTTTCTATATATATCCCTATACCTCTGTCAATCTGTTTCCTGTTTTAATTATGATAATACTATGAGGTATCAGGATAGCTTTTAGGTAAGTCCAAATCTTTGGTCTGTTTCAAAATGTCTTGGCTATCTATGGTTGTACACTTGTTCCTCCATATAAACTTAAGAAACAACTTGATACATGCCAGGAGTAGTGTGGGGAATGGGATTATGATGATCTGCAGATGAACTATAAAATACTTGTCACAAGGTTTATGCTATTTTTCTTGTCAACTAAAACAACTTTATTGTTGTTTCCTCCCTACATGTGCCTTCTAATTGGTTTAGAATTAATTATGCTAATTTACATACAGTAGCAAATATGGGTGAAAGAAAACAGAACATTTTAAATCAACATTGAGAAGAATATGAATCCGGAGATAATCTCTTTACATCTACTACTTCCCTCAAAATAAGTCCTATCCAGTAGGACTCTGTGTATGTATTAAAGAAAACTTAGTAAATTTTGGGTTAGTGGACTTCATACCAGTTAAAAAAATAGCATGGTTTTTATACAAATTATGAGAAAAGTCTAAGAATTTTCTAAACATTTTTCCTACTTTCAGATTTATAAAAGTAAACTTACTGGTATCAACCAGACATATTATAAACAATCTCAAAATTTCACATCTGCTTCTCCTTCTCCTTGTTTTGTTGAAGACACAAATATTAAAAATTATATTTCTCTGAAAATTTTTATAATTGACCTTTCTAGCATCACAATTAAACACACCTGAGAAGTATATGATTAAAAGGATTACTTGAGTATATTTGGGTAAAAAGTTTCAAGATTTTTCAAAACTATGTCAATTTATTTTCTATGATTTCAAATTATAACAGTCAAATAAAGTGGTACAGTAATATCACAATTTTCAACACACACATTAATATAACCTACACACCCAGGCATGCAGAAGATATACTGAGTATGCAATGGCATTGAAGCATATTTGTTACTATTATTAGGCATACTAATAGGATAGTGATTGTTTTGCAAACAGAGAAGTTTACAAAATTATTTAAGGGTAAAAAATATGATGTCAAGGATTTGCTTTAAAATACTATAGGAAAGGGGCACCTGGCTGGCTCAGTCAGAGGAGGATATGACTCTTGATCTTGGGGTCATGATTTCAAGCCCCATGTTGGGTGTAGAGACTGCTTAAAATAAATAAATAAATAAATAAACAAACAAACAAACAAACTTTAAAAAATTCTTTAAATAAAAACTAAAATACTACAAAAAGGAAAAAGAAAGATGAGTGAAATAGATGAAGGGCAAAAACAATGTAATTATTGGAGCCAGGTATCAGGTTCATGAGGGCTTTTCACCGTGTTCATTCTACATTTATAAATACTTCAAAAGTTCAAAGTTTTTTTTAATGAAAACTGTATGTTAATGTTGGGGAAAAGATGTAATCTTACTAATCTTAATATCACAGTGTGTTTCTCCAGAAGAGAAAAATTAAGTACTTTTAGTCTAAGATCATCTCAAAATTAAAATCAGTTTGGACTCTGAATTTTTAAAGTTTCATAATAAAAGACCCAACTGTGCACTTAGTAACAGCAAAAACATCTCTGTAATCAACTACAAAACCAAAAATTAACTCTGATTTCTTTTCTGCTTTAATCTGTAATATTCTATTCCATCTGAAGCTCTATCAAGTACAAAATGTTCCAAGATTACAGAACAAAGTGTGTCTTCCTCTCAAAGGCAAGCTACTGCTGGTGTGTAACCAATAGCATCAGCCTTCTGTGGATAAAAATAGCCTTCAAACACCGCATGCACCAAAGACCAAAGACCCAGGGAAAGTCAGGCAGAACAAAGCTGTTACCAGGGAGGAATTCGGCCAGCGGAGAGCTTGCCCTTCTGCCCTTCACACAAGAGTCTGTTTGCAACTGAGACTGGGTTCTTGATTCCTATAAAATAAAATTGGCAGAAAATGGAGTCAGAAAAATGCCTTCAAGTTTCCCACTCAGTTTTGTGGTGTTTCAATAAAACAACTTTAAAATATCTTAGAAAACTCTTATATACATACTAATGAAAACCCTCAATTATCATGAACAATAAGGATAAAATCAACAAACATATGAATACCTTGTAGATGCAAGAAAAGAATATAAAACATACATTCTCAGTTTTGTCATGTGCTACAGCAGCAAAGACTGAATTTGAAATATATACTTAAATTAGGTTTCTTGTTAGATTTCAGAATAGAATAAAAAAAGTAATGAAAGTGTGGCATCTACTACCAAAAATTGAATTTCCTCTAAAGCATAAACATGATTACAAACATAGGAGGAGGAATTAATGGCCAAAAATTTTAAATCTCACCTATAGGAGAGATAGAATAAAGAGAATATTCTACAAATTGGGTAAGAGTGGGGAAAAGAGGTCAAGTATATACAGGTTGGTAACCTAAAATATGGTTCAGATTGTTTCCAGAACAGAAAACAGAATGTGAAGAAAAGTGAGAAGAGGATGTATATATGGAAGGGATGATAGGACAGCAAGTGTTAGTGTGAAAAACGGTGCCATGATGACAATGACAATGACAAATATGACAATGTGATGATGACCGAAGATAGTGATAGTAACTCAGTATCTAATATATGCCAGGCTCACTGCCAAACCCTTAAATGTATCAGGTTATTTCATTGATCTCTCAACTCTATCATATAAGTATACTTACGAAACCTGATTACTGAGGAAATATTTGCACAGAGGGTTAAGTTACCCACCCAAGATCACAGTGTTAAGATTTTAACAGAAGCAGCTAATGCCAGAGACCATACCCTTAACCACTAATCAATGGATGCCTCTCAGGATATCATTAATGCCAAAAAAAGAAAAAAATCAGTAGTGGGATATAAAGAGACTATAAAAACTCAAATTAAAGTCACTATATTACCTCAAAACAAAATCATTTAGCTAAACAACAAAAACATGTACTAGCTCTTAAACTATATCTCTGCACGGGTGCCTGGGTGGCTCAGTCAGTTAAGCGTCCAGCTCTTGATTTCAGCTCAGATCATGATCTCATGGTTCTTAAGTTTGAGCCCAGCATCAGGCTCTGTGCTGACAGCACGGAGCCTGCTTGGGATTCTCTTTCCCCCTCTCTCTCTGTCCCTCCCTGACTCATGCTTGCTCTGTCTCTCAAAATTAAATAAATAAACATTAAAAAAAAATTTTACATCTCTGTATATGATGATTCAATATTATAAACACTTTAATAATTGTCAAATCAAGTTATAAATTCAAATCAACAAATTCTCCATCAAAACTTCAAAAGGATTTCTATGATGTATGTCAAGCTGACTCTTAAACTCATCAGGAAGAGAACACTTTGGGAAAAAATGAAGAGATATTTACCTTACAAGATACCATTTCTTACTAAAATCTATTCTTAATTAAGAGAGTGTGATTTGGGTACAAACAGACAAATACATCAATTGAATAGAATAAAGCTACCATTCAGACACAGACACACATGCATTTGGACATTTAATCCATGACACAGACAGTAGTTCAAATGAGTATGAAAAGATAGACTCTCTGTGAGAGGTAGAAAGAACACAGAGTGATGGGAGTCAGACTGTTTTATAACTGTACTGGCTATCAATCTATTACTTCTCAGCTACAGATTCTCCCTTCCTTGCCTGAACTGTGGAAATAGATATGAACCCTTTAAATGTGTTCCTTTTGCCAGCTGGCACACCGGTAACTTTATCAGTAGAGGGCACTGGAGACATACTGCAGAAGGAACAGTGCCTTCTTAGCCAGGCTTGCAGAATGTCAGTTCTTCTTCACTATTTGGCCCACATGGTATTCCCCAGTGCTAAGGGCCTGCAGAGTGCAGCTTTCTCCAGCATTTGGCCACCACATGTTCTCCCCAGCTCCTGATTCAAACTACAACAGCATAGCTGACAGCCCCAGAAAGAACAGGACTGTGCCCAGCTCAAGTCACACACCTTCTCAGCCTCACAAGCACAAACAGCAAAGTGTCCTATGGGGAAAACTGCCTCGTGAGCCAAAAGCCCAATCTTTATCCTGTGCAACAGAGGTTCAGTTCCCATAGTTTCCTGACCCCTGTGTATCTGCCCACCAGCTTGAGCTCACATGTGCCCCACAGGATTGTTCCTGGTCTCACAGTGACTGTGGCCTGGGTAACCCAACAACTACTCTGCCCCACAGTGAGCTGCAACCATACCTTCTTTACTGATGTCTGAATCTCCTTTCAAGTCTATCCTTACTTGGGTATTCTCCCTCTGCCCTAGAACACATTTTGAGTTTTCATTCCATCTTTATATAGTTACTCTCCTATCACTGTTTAATCATCCTTTATATTAAACTTCTATTTTATCTACTGTGTGGTTTGTCTGCTAGTTAGACCCAGACTGATACAGCAACCTTGGACAAATTACTAAACCTCTTTTGTATTTCAGTTTCCTTATCTGTGAAATGGGGATAAAAGTACTGATGTCAAAAGGTAATTGTGAGAACTAAGTGACTAAGTATACGTAAGCTACTGGAGAACAATGCATAGTATGCAACAATCACCCAATAAATGGTAGTTGTTATTGTTATTATTATTCAACAAATTGTATAGGGACAATTTGTTGGTTATTTCTTAAAGAAGTAAATGAAAAATAAATTATAAGTGTATTAGAAGAAAATATAGATTAACTGTACTTATAATTATAAGAGAAACCTTAAGAAATGCAAAACACAAAAGCCACAAAAGAACAAGTAAAGCCTTGACAAATAAAAATTTTAAATTCCAATATAATAAAGCACATTATAAATAAAGTTAAAAGGCAAACCACAAGAGATATGGAACAGTCAGTTCACAAAGAAACGCTAATGGCTATTAATATACGAAATTTCATTAAATCCCAATAAATATCATAATAAAAGAAATTAAAATTAAAATTAATTGATATACCCTTTCTTACCTACCACACGAATCAGAAAGGATATAGAAGATTGGAAGAAGTGAATAACCAAATTGACCTAGTTGACACATACAGAACACACACCTAACAACTACAAAATACATACTCTTCTAAAGTTCACATGGAATGGGGCTCCTGGGTAGCTCAGTCGGTTAAGCGTCTGACTCTTGGTTTTGGCTCAGGTCATGATCTCACAGTTTGTGAGTTCAAGCCCTGCATTGGGCTCTGCGCTAATAGCACAGGGCCTACTTGGGATTCTCTCTCTGCCCCTACCCACTCTCTTTCTCTCTTTCAAAATAAATAAATAAACTTTATTAAAAAAATAAAGTTCACGTGGAGTGTTTATCAAAACACACCATAAACTGGGCCATAGAGCAAGTCTCAAAACGTTTCAAGGGACTGGAATCATACAGAAGATGTTCTCTGGCCACAGTGAAATTAAACTAGAAATCAAAAAGAAAACTAATAAAGTCTTTAGGCAAATACATTTGACAACTCATATGAAAAAGACAAATTCCTTGAAAACACACACAAGAAAAAGAAAATATAATCTTATAACTATTAAAGAAATTGAATCCCATTTTTTAAAACTTCCTTCAAAGAAAACTAATTTAGAATAACTAATAAATTCTCAGAAGAAATCATTCCAATCATGCATAAACTCTATCAAAGGGAGTGAAAAAAAAAATCTTCAATTCATTTTATGAGGCCAGCCATAACATGATTCTAAAACTTAAAATAATATTACAAGAAAGGAAAATTGAAACCAATTTTTACACATACATGAACATAGATGTCAAAATATTAAACATCAACAACTTGAATCCAGCAGAATATAAAAAGATAAAAACACGACCAAGATTTTATGCCACGAAGGGAATATTCAAAAATCAATCACAAATTTCATCATATTTAACAATATAAGGGGGAAAAACCTTCATCTCAATAGATACAGAAAAGCCCTTAATGATAATTTTCAATATCCATTTATAATAAAAACTATTGGCAAACTAAGATTAAAAAGGAACTTCTTCAATCTGATAAAGAGTATCTATAACAATCCAAAAGCTAGCAGAGCACACAGAATGATCTTGATCTCTAAGATCAAGAATCAAGCAAGGATATACATTATCACCACTTATATTCAGCATTGCACTGGATGTCACAGCCAGTATAATAATGTAAGAAAAAAATAAAAAGTTTACATATATATTGGAAAGAAAAAAGCAAAATTACATGAGTCATAGGTAATTATGTATATAAAATTTCATGGGGACTTATTTTTTCAAACTTTTTCAAATTAATAAGTGAATTTATCAAGGACAGTGAATTCAAAGCCAATATACAAAACTCAATTGTATTTCTAAATACAATAAAACAATTAGATATCAATATTTAAAATATACGTACTTTATAATAGCATCAAAAAACTAAGTATCTAGAATAAACCTAATAAAACATATACATGGAATTTATACTGAAAATAAAACATTGCTGAGAAAAAATGAGCAATATTTATGTAAAAATACATATTCTATGTTTGTGGGATAGAATACTCAATACTGTTAAGACATCAGTTCTCCACAAATGTTCCATACTTTCAATGCAATACCAATCAAAATTCCAGCAAGGTTTTACTGTAGACGTTGACAAGTTGATTTAAAATTTTTATGAAAATGGAGTGCCTGGGTGGCTCAGTAGATTAAGTGTTCGACTTCAGCTCAGGTCACAATCCCGAGGTCTATGAGTCCGAGCCCCGCATTAGGCTCTGAGCTAATAGCTCAGAGCCTAGAGCCTGTTTCAGATTCTGTGTCTCCCTCTCTCTCTGCCCCTCCCCTGCTCACACTCTGTGTCTCCCTCTCTCTTAAAATAATAAATAAACATTAAATTTTTTTTTTAATTTTTACGAAAATGGCCAAAGACCTACAATAGCCAATATAATCTTTAAACAAATAAAAAAAAGAAAAAAAGGAAGTTGGAAGTCTCATACTACCAGATATGAAGAATATAAAAATATATTACCAGATATAAAGAATATAAAGCTACAGTAATCAAGACAGTATGGCACTGGCAATAAATAGGACAACAGAATAGATCAAGGGTACAAAAACAAGCCATTGCATGCATAGTCAGTCACCTGATTTACCAACACAGCTGTGTGAGGAAAGCACTGTCCTTTCTATTGACAATGGCAATGAACCATTTGGATATCCGTAAGTAGAAAAAAATTAATGTCAGCTCCTATTTCACATACACTAAAATTAATCTGAGCTTGATAAGAGAGCTAAACGTGAAGAGTAAAAAACAACAGAACTAATGAGGATGCGTAGCGGGCTTAGTTGGTGAAGCACGCAACTCTTAATCTCGGGGTCATGAGTTCAAGCCCCACCTTGGGGTGTAGAGCTCACTTAAAAAAAAAATAGAACAAATAAAACAATGGAGATGATCTTCAGAACTTTGGGTAGACAAAGATTTCTTAAATAAAATATTTTTTTAAATAACCATAAAAGATTAGTAACGTAAACATTAGAATTTAAAACTTCAGTTCATCAAACGATAGCATTTAAAGAGTGAAAAGGTGATCCACAGACTGGAAAGAGATATTCATAATACAGGTATCAGACAAAGGATGTGTATCTAAAATATATAAAATACTTGAACAAATCAATAAAAAGAGATAATCCAATACAAAATATGCAAAAGACATTTGAACACACACTATGCAACAAGAATATCTAAAAGGCCAGTAAGTGTATCAAAAGGTTCTCAGTATTGTTAGTCACCAGGGAAATTCAAATCAAAACAATAATGTCATTGCACCGATATCAAAACAGATGAAATTTAAAAAGAATAGCAATACTAAATGTTGGCCGGATGTAGAGTAACCAAAATGCTCATACACTGCTGGCGGGAGTAGAGACTGTAAAAACTACTTTGGAAAACTGTCTAACAGTAACTATTAAAGCAAAGTATATTATGCACCTAAACTTATTTACTCCAAATCTTAGGGTAATACCCAAGAGAATTAAGTACACATGTCTATCAAAAGGCATGTACAAGAATATTCATTGGAGCTTTATTCTTTACAGTTCAAATTATCACGGGAAGGAGAATAAATAAGTTATTATATATCCACGCAATAAAATACTACTAAGTAATAAAAAGAAAAAATTACTATGACACAAAACATGGGTTAATATCATAGGCATAGTGTTAAGCAAAAAAAAAAAAAAAACAAAAAACAAAAAATAGACACAAAGGTGTATGATTCATTATGTAAATTTTAGTAAGAGGCAAATTAATCTACAGTGCTTAAAGTCACAATTAGGAGAGAAGAGGATAAGGAGGGAAGGTAGGAGCAGAGTATGAGAGATATGGACAAGAAAAAGGCATAAAGACTCCCTCTGGGATTATAGAAATGTTTTGTATTTTGACATGGAAGTGTTTTACATCTTGATCTGGGTAATGGTTTACATGGCTATGTACATTTAAACATTCATGCAGCTACAACAAAGGAAACAATCAACAAAACTAAAAGGAAGCCGATGGAATGGGAGAAAATATTTGCAAATGACATATCAGATAAAGGGTTACTATCAAAAATCAACAAAGAACTTATCAAACTCAACACCCGTAAAACAACCCAGTGAAGGAATGGGCAGAAGACATGAATAGACATTTTTCCAAAGATGTACGGATGGTAAACAGACACATGAAAAGATACTCAACATCACTCATCATTAGGGAAATACAAATTAAAATCACACTGAGGGGCGCCTGGGTGGCTCAGTCGGTTAAGCATCCGACTTGGGCTCAGGTCATGATCTCGCATTTGTGAGTTAGAGCCCTGAGTTGGGCTCTGTGCCAACCACTCGGAGCCTGGAGCCTGCTTCGGATTCTCTGTCTTGCTCTCTCTCTGCCCCTCCCTTGCTCACGCTCTGTCTCTCTCTGTCTCAAAAATAAATGAAACATTAAAAAAAAAAAATTAAAAAAAAAAACACACTGAGATACCACCTCACATGGGTCAGAGTGGCTAAAAGTAACAACTCAAGAAACAACAGATGTTGGCAAGGACATGGAGAAAGGGAAACTCTCTTGCACTGTTGATGGGAATGCAAACTGGTACAGCCACTCTGGAAAACAGTGTTCCTCAAAAAATTAAAAATAGAACTACCCTATGACTCAGCAATTACACTACTAGGAATTTATCCAAAGGATACAAAAATGCTGACTTGAAGGGGCACATGCACCCCAATGTTTCCTTCCCTATGAAAAAAAAAACAAAAACTTCAAGGCAACCTGGCTATATGCATATGTGACATTCCTCATGACCTTGTATCATGAGATCACTTAATCAGACTGCATGTTTGTGTGTTACCATATATGGGAGACAAAGAAGTAGAAAATACATAAAAAACTATGCCACGTGGCGTTGAGAGTTCAGTTCTTCAGGTACAAATCCAACTGAGCCATGCCGGCACTGATAAAGTTGCTTCCTGGAAAGAAAAGCCTCGGTGTCGTGACTCTCTATGCGAGAATCCCGTTACAGCAGCGCTAACAATAGCCAAATCATGGAAAGAACCCATATGTCCGTCAACTGATGAATGGATTAAAAAGATGTTGTGTATATATATGTATATACACACACACACACACACACACACACACACACACACACACACACACACACACACAATGGAATACTACTGATTGATGAAAAAGAATGAGCTCTTGCCACTGCAACAACGTGGATGGAACTGGAGGGTATTATGCTAAGTGAAATAAGTCAGAGAAAGACAGATATCATATGATTTCACTCATATGTGGAATTTGAGAAACTTAACAGAAGACCACAGGGGAAGGGAAGGGAAAATAAGTTACAAACAGAGGGAGGCACAATCACAGAGACTTTTAAATACAGAAAACAAACTGAGTGTTGATGGGGTTGAGGGGATGAGGAGGTGGAGGGATGGGGGATGGGCACTGAGGAGGGCACTTGCTGGGATGAGCACTGGGTGTTGTATGTAAGTGATGAATCACAGGAATCTACTCCTGAAGCCAAAACTAAACTGTATGTTAGCTAACTTGACAATAATTTTTAATTCACTCATTCATTCATGCAGCTTTCTAATTAAAATCTGTGCATTTCATGTATATTTTGCTTTAATAAAAGAACTGCAAAATATTAGATATATCTTATATGTACTGATGTGGGAAAAAATCTGAGACATCCTGTATAAGAAAAAAATACATACAATGTACATATACACACATACACATATATTTTTTAAAAAACACATGTGCAAAACTATGTTTTTATTACATAAAAATATAGATAAATGCACTATATTTTACTGGTTAAGCCCCCCATGGAGAGAGGGATTTGAAAGAAAGATTTGGAAGATCAATGGTGAATTTTATTTGTATCATTTGAATTTCCTAACAAGAAATATATTATTTGTGTACTTCAAAAATTATAAAATTAATAGAACATGTTAACTCACATGTTACATGTCTATAATCTCAAGGGAATGAAGGAGAATGATCAAACTCTAACAAAAAGTTGAACATAAGCTGTCACTGTTTTCTTTAAAACTATTCACACCTAAGATTTTCATGTTTTAAATTAAGGAAAAGAAGACAATTTATTTTCAACACTATTCCTAGCAAGAATGGTAGAAAACACTGGATTGACTAAGTCTTTAGGAGGCATCAAATCTTAATATTCATAGTTCTTTAAAGAATAGAGATAGTGTGTTATAATGTCCACATACCACTCAGTGCTCCAACAGCTCCAAAATTTAAGGATTTTCCATCCATTATGCTGGCATCACATTCAATTTCACCCAAGAGATTTAGATTAGATCCCATTCCTGCATTTGTAAATGGAGAATCCTAAGAGATAAAAACAAAAATCAAAATATCATTAGTTTGTGGGGTTTTTTTAGTTTTTTATCTATTTTTTTGAGTAATCTCTACTCCCAGGGTGGGGCTCAAACTCATGACCCTGAGTTGTAGATACTCCTCTGACTGAGGCAGACAGATGCCCCTAAAATATAGTTATTCTTAAATAAAATTTAATGTCAGTCCTTTATAAACTGTTCCAAAAACTAGAAAGGGAAAGAATACTTCCCAACTCATTGTACAATACCAGTACTACCCTGATTCCAAAACAAGACAAAGACATCAATGAGGAAAGAAAACTACAGATGAATATATCTTGAGAATATGGACACAGTATCCTCAAGAAGATAGTAGCAAACCAAATGCAGCAAAACATAAAGAAGTCTTATACACCATGAATAAGAGGGATCCCAGAAAAGTAAATTTGGTTTAATATGTGAAACTTAATGTGATACACCATGTTAATAAAGAAAGGAAAAAAAAAAAAAAAAAACAACACAGGATCATACCAATAAACATAGAAAAAGCATTTGATAAAATCTAATACCCTTTCATGAGAAAAGCACTCAACTAGAAACAGAATGGAACTTCCTTAACATGATAAAGGGCATCTACAAAAAGTCCAGAGTTAACATCATAACTAATGGTGAAAAACTGAATATTTTTTAAAAAACACATGTGCAAACCTATGCTTTTATTATATAAAAATATAGATAAATACACCGTGTTTTGCTGGTTAAGCCCCCCAAGGAGAGAGGGATGAGAAGGAAAGATTTGGAAGATCAACGGTAAATTTTATTTATATGATTTGAATTTTCTAACAAAAAATTATTTGTGTATTCCCTAAAGATCAGGAATAATATAGCAAAGTTCACTCTTGTCAATTCTATTTAACATTATACTGGATATTCTGGACAAAACAATTAGGTAAAAGAAAGAAATAATGAGTGTCTAAATTGGAAAAGAAAAAGTAAAATTACCTCTTAGTTGAAGATAATAAAAAGTCCTAAGGACTTGACTAAAAACTATTAGGACTGATAAGTTCAACAGGATTTCAAGATACAAGATTAACGTACAAAAATCAATCATATTTCTACACGTTAGCAATGAACAATATGAAGATGAAATTCAGAAAACAATTCCACTTACAATAACATCAAAAAGAATAAAATACTTAGGAAGAAATTCAAAAAAATAAGTATAAGATTTATATACTGAAAACTAAAAAACATGTTGAGAAAAAAATTAAAGAATACCTAAATAAATGGAAAGGCAGCCATGTTCATAGGTCAGAAGGCTTAATAGCTTTAAGAGCAATATTCTCCAAAACTGATCTGCTTCAACACATTCCCCTATCAAATCCTAGCTGCCTCTTTTCAGGCAGAAATTGACAAACTAATCCTAAACTTCATAGGGAACTGCAAGGGATGCAGAACCACCAAAACCACTTTGAAAAGAAAAAACAAAATTGGAGGGCTCACACTTCTAGGTTTTTTTTAACTTACTACACAAATACAGCAATCAAGAGGTATACAGCAATATAGGGGTAATATAGGGGTGCCTGGCTGGCTTAGTCAGTGCAGCATGTGACTCTCCATCCTGGGGTCATGAGTTTGAGCCACACATTGGACATGGAACCTACTTTAAAAAAAAAAAAAAAAGATGATGTGATATAAGCATGTAGCTAAGGACAGACATATAGATCAATGTAATAGGATTGACAGAAGCCTCACAGGGCCTGGGTGGCTCAATCGGTTAAGTGTCCAGCTTCGGCTCAGGTCATGATCTCACAGTTCATGGGTTCAAGCCCCGCATCAGGCTCTGTGCTGACCCCTTGATCAGAGCCTGGAGCCTGCTTCAGATTCTGTGTCTCCTTCTCTCTCTGCCCCTCCCCCGCTCACGCTTTGTCTCACTCTGTTTCTCAAAAATAAATAAAAGTAAAAAAAAATTTTTTTTTAATTAAAAAAAAAAAGGAAGACTCACATTTATGGTCAATTCAACAAGGATGCCAGAAAAATGCAATAAAGAAAAGACAGTCTTCTATAAGTGGAGCTAGGACAACTGGATATTCAATTCAAGAGAAGAAAGTTTGATGCTATCTCACACCATATACAACTTAACTCCAAGTAAAACAAAGACCTAAATCTAAAGATTAAAACTATAAAAACCATTCAAAGAAAACACTGGAGCAAATGTTTAGACAGTGGTTTCCTAGATATGATACTAAAAGCAAAAGCAACCAAAGAAAAAACTAGATAAGTTGGACTTCTTCAAAATTAAAAACTTTTGGGTTTCAAAGTACACAATAGGGGCACCTGGATGGCTAAGTCGGTTGAACGTCTCCTGATTTCAACTCAGGTCATGATCCCAGGGCTGTGGGATCAAGCCCCGCATCAGGCTCCACACTGAGCGTGCAGCCTGCTTAGGAGTGTGTGTGTGTGTCTCTCTCTCTCTTTTTCTCTCTCTCCACCTCCCCCACCCTAAGGCCCTCTCCCCTACTCTCTCTCTCTTTTTAAAAATAAATCTTTAAAGTACACAATAAAAAAAGTAGAAAAAACTCACAGAACTGGGGGGAGGAATGCAAATCATTTACCCTTAAGAGATTTGTATCCAGGATATATAAAAACTTCCCACAACTCTAAAATAAAAACACAATTTTAAAATGGGAAAAGGACATGAATGAACATTTCTCCAAAGAATATACATAAATGGCCAATAAGCACATGAAAAAATGCTCAACATCAAGGAAAGGCAAATCAAAACCACACAAAATACTACTTCGTACCCACAATTCCACTTACAATAACATCAAAAAGAATCACAAAGACAGATGTGCTGGCAAGGATATGAAGAAATTAGAACCCTTATACACTGCTGGTGGGAATGTACAATGGTAATGCCACTTTGGAAAACATCGGGCAGCCCCTCAAAAACTTAAACATAAAATTACCATTTGACCCAACAATTCCACTTCTAGGTATATACCCAAGAGAAATGAATTGTCTGCACAAAACTTGAGCCCAAATATTCTTAACAGCTTATTCAATACTCATACTCCAGCATTTTTGCAAACTCAAATATCCACCAACTGATAAAGTGGATAAGTAAAACATGGTATATCTATACAATGGAGTATTAATCAGCAATAAAAAGTAATGAAATACTGATACATGGCAAAATGTAGATAAACCTAAAAAACAGTGCTAAGTGAAAGAAGCCAGTCACAAATGATCACATATTGGATGATCCAATTTATATGAAATGTCCAGAATAAGCAAATCCAAAAAGAAGATCAGTGGTTGCCAGGGGTTAGGAAAGGGGGAATGGGGGGGTGACAGCTAATAGATCCTGCATTTCTTTTGGGGGTGATTCAGATGAACTAAAATTAGACAGGGTGACAGCTGCAGAACTTTATGAATATACTAAAAACGAGTGAATTGTATACTATAAAATGGTGAATTCTTTGGTATATGAATTACATCTTCAAAAAGATATCATAAAGAAAAAAAAAATAAAAGCTTACATCAACAGGCTACATAGAACATAAAAGCCTGGAATCAGAAGCCAGTCATGTATTTGAAATCTAAAAGAAAAATACTGCCTTATTTTTCTAATACTGTGAATACAGTTTTTAAAAATATATACCATTAGTCTTGTTATGTCAAGACAATATCATACATAATCTTCCACCACAAATACGGGAACAAAATCTAACAATAAAAAAATCTTACAATTAAAAAAAAAAATCATGGGGACAAAGTCCCAAAAGATTTCATTAAAAAAAAAAA